CCTTCCTTCCTTCCTTCCTTCCTTCCTTCCTTCCTTCCTTCCTTCCTCCCAGTTTCTATATGTGGGGGAGGGCTGCAAGGGTCCCAATAGCTGGAGGAGCTGCAAGCAGCACAAGCTATGGCACTGATTTTCACTTCTTTTCAGTCTTGCAAGGCACCAACCCTGAAGATAATCATAAATTACCTTTAGACCGCTTCTGAGAATTTGGCAAGAATAAACAGTAGCAGTGTAGAAGGGCCACCAGTATTCGCAACCTTCCTTCAGAATTTGATCTGGTCCACCTTTCCAAGCAAACTGAACTAATCTGCACTTCTGAGACTACAATATGGACCTGCAGTCCTTAACTCAAAAATAGAAAGTGCCTAGTGTGTATAATGCAGTATGTGTATATAGGTCAAAATTGCAATATATATATGTATTTTTGAGCTCTTTGCAAAATATGGAGAAATACATTATCTCAAGGAACTCAATCTTCTGTTCCATGTTTTAATCTGAGAAGAGTAAACTAATATGTATACATATATACAGTATTGCAGTATATACATACACGCATGCACGCGCGCGCACACACAGACACACAGACACACAGACACACAGACACACACACATACACATACCTGTGCAGGGGAAAGTTATCTCCAATAAAAAAAAAGAAGAATATGAAAGTAAATGAATTTTATGCAAGAAAAATCACAGAATGATGCAGGAACTGAATGGAGCAGTCATGAAACTGGATATATATGATACTGATATGGTTTAGGTAAAGACTTACTTGTCTATTTACAGGTATAATGCAGGTAATAATACTAAAGAATTCAAAGACAGCTGATCAAAACAGAAATAAAGGAACTAAGTCAATCAACCTTGAGAAAAATAAATACTTACCAGAATGTGTCCTTAAGTGACCTGTGAGCGCATCTCTTCTTTGACAGGCGTAGCTACAAAGGTGACATTTGAATGGCTTTTCTCCAGTGTGAAGCTTAACATGGCGGAGAAGATTTCCCTTCTGAGTAAATGAGGCTCCACACTGATTGCAGTGGAAAGGACGCTCACCTTAAAAACAGGATGTATAGTAGAGTGATTATTCGAGCGCTATAGTTTTTGTTAAAAATTAAATTCAAATTATTCTGCCATAAGGAGCATGAGGTTGATTCATCTGGTTATTGTCACCCAGCTCTGGCCAGAGGCCTGAGCTAGTAGAAGGGTTCATAGAATAAGGGATTGGGTGAGGAGGGAAAAATCTGTTTCTGATAGTGTAGCACAATTTCCTCCCCGATCAGAATGAGTGGCATTCTTCACTAGAACAATTTCCTTTCAGAGTGCGTAAGAGTAATAACTGCTACCTTCACAGTATCCCCCTTCCCAACATCTATGCACATGCCTGCCTCCTACGTTGGATGTACTGGGCCATCCTACCTAGCTTGATCACCACCTGGACTCTGCCCAACTGAGAGGACTGGAATGGCTACTGGAATAGCCTCAGATCAAGTGTTTTCCACAGAGATCTTGCTTCTGAGTGAATGGTAATTACCCGTGTGGCTGCGTTTGTGAACCATCAGAACGTTGAGGCTGACACAGCCCAATCCACAAATGTCACACTTCAGTTTTCCAGTATTTGATTTGACGAGGTCATAGGGCTCAGAATGCCTCTCCAGTTCAATGTTGTCATATTCTCCATATTCCTGCCTGCAGTTGTAAAGGATCCCAGGTTCTTCTCGAGTTTCCACTGGCTCAGAATTCAGAGCTCCATCTTCTTTTTCATCATATTCACCTTTGACTTTAAGTAAACTATCTTCTGGACATGGCCCCAAAATAAAATATAAATATAAAAGTCCACAGAAAGAAGGGTGTTATAATTATTAATTATTATTATTATCATCATTATTATTCTTTGAAATAATGCTAAATAGTATTTTTTCCATTTTCTTATTTCCTTCCTCTCTATATTAAGCATTTCTTTGATAAAATTAATCAATTACAGGCACAATGAAATCTAGGCCATTAAAATCCCATTGTCACATTCACCTTTTTCCAACTCAGTCTTCCCTAATCTACAATTGCCTTTAGTATTATGAGGAAGAAAGGGAGAAAGGGAAGAGAACAGAAGAGAAGAGGGTAGAGTTTAGAACCAAATATACACAAATGCTTAAGAAATCCTGGGAGACAGGATAAAAGTAGAAATCTTAATTAGCATCTCTTAAGGCATCAGATAAAAGGATATTAAAAACACATCCATAAGTGCTATAACATTGTAGATGTTTTAAAAATATTCAACATTCAATTTATAGGAGTAAAGGATTCCTTTGCTGTGTTTTACTTAACTGTGCTTAATGAAATCTCTGTGCTTTTTCGTTTGTTTGTTTTTTCAACAAAATGCATATGCATACATGTATTTTTAGTGGTCCGAATAAAGTGAAAGCAGAGGAAGAGAAGGCAGAGGAATCGGCAAGCACAGAGTAAAGCTACTATATCTGGGCTCCAAAAATCTGGACCACCGTTAGATGGCAGCAAAGAGTTTGAGTTTACTCCCGTATCTAGTGGTCATCCATATCTAATGTCATGCCTAGTGGGCATCTGGATTTTTACAGCCCAGGTATGATAGGCAAGCGGGGGGGAGGTGGAGGAGCTATAGCAGAAGAGAAGCACAGCAGGAAAGAGTAAGAGAAGAGCTGCTGCTGCCACCACTACTTCTTCCACTGCCATTCCTGAGTCAGCTGTCTCTGACTAGATGGCAGAAGTCTTATCTGTCAAGCAGGAGGGGAGAAGGAAAGAGATTCTTTGGCTGACTGAAGAGGTGAAGGGAAACTCTTGCGAGTTACGGTGGGGAAAAAGTGGCTGTCAATTGCCCCAATCAGGAGGTTCTCCTTGAACCGGGTATACTGTACTTTCCTTGATAGTCATCTTTCAGATGTTTCATACCCCAATCCATTGCTTTCCCTCTTATTAAAACATGAATATAGTATAAACTATAGTATATGCAGGTAGTCCCCAGGTTAAGGACGTAATTTAAGGACAACCCATAGTTAAGAATGGAGCCGACTGTAGCAAAATTTGAGTTAAATGCACAACGACTGGAGTTTTACACAATACTACTTATACAGTATTATACAATAATACTGTTCCGGCTTACATACAAATTT